TTATAGACATGGCAATTTTCCTTGTCTTCAATTTTCCTTGACTTCCTGTGGTATTAATGCGAGTGTCATACGTTCAACATCGGCGATGGTTTTTCTGGTTACACTTAGCACAAAACACATTCAACGTGAATCAATACTTCACTGGCGGGATTTTGTCTAGAAAACGTTGTGCCGAAAAACTTAATGCATACACAAACCTATATATAATTATGTACACTACTATTCCTAGGCGCCCGAATTTCATGGACACGTGTCTTGATTTCCAATTGCGCTGCCTCGAGTGTATGTTCTTCTCCGACTGTCTTCCCAGATTGATAACTATCGTAGCAGCTCAATCTTATCCGGCAAAAGACGGAAATTAACTTAAAATTTGCGCGCCAATGAGGTGAACACGTCGGAATTCGACACTCGAATGTCCTGGTAAGGAAAGATGACATTGGCCGCTGAGTGCAGTTTGCGTAGTTTGAGTGATATTGGATTTACGGCAAGGATAAACTCCTCAGAAATATACACGCCGGTTCTGTATTTAACTGCTGTTGTATCATGGCGCATTCTTGTCGATTGTGACTTCCCACTCACTACTTGCAAACAACATTAACGCTTTAAGGGCCCACGTATGAAAGGTTTAATACTATTATCACTTATTTGAAAAAAACATGATCAATACTGGTGGCGTTACTCGTGCACCATGAAGCAATAATCACAATATACGTCACATGTATCAAAACTATCTTTATTTCATAGTCAAAACTTTTTACGATTGGAAGTATATTTTGAAGAACTAAACTATCAAGTTATAACCGAGTCACCTGCAATTACGGTAACGTATTGCATTTTGTGTGTGTGTTAAGATTGGTGTAAACTTTTAAATGTGTATAAGCGTATAGGCAATTATTTGGTATAGTGTATTCGAAAAAAAGCTACACAGGAAACGAATGTGTGTGTGTGTACGTAATATAATGGCGTTTCATAGACATGAAGTACGATACTAGCAGATTATTATTTTGCATTGCTGAAAAGAAAAATTATATATGTGGCGATTATGAATATTCTGCATTATAATGAGATACTAGTATATATGTCGACGATATTGCATCATCCGTGTTAGTAAAATAGATATTTAAAAATAATACAGTGTATTATGAATAAATATGTGTGCGGATCTAATAACTAAGATGTTGAAAAAATTACAACTTTGTACTTTCAGGAGGAAGTGTTGCTCGGTTCTATTGGAGGTACTATGGGACTGTATTGTGGATTCTCCTTTATAACTATTGTGGAATTCCTGCAACTATTTATCGAACTTTTAAGATTCCAATATGTAAAATATATTAGAAATCAACATCTTTAAATCATGGGTTTAAACCACACACATGCGTATACATTATGTACGTGTGTTTACGCAATGATTTTTACGAATATCAAAATTTGTAAATTGTGTATAGCTACCAAATAAAATGGGATGTATTTGGGTAAAGTCGACTCTGTTGTAAGGATGGAAAGTGTGATATATAACAATCAAATATATGTGTCATATATGAAACTATTCAAGTGAAAAGTGGTTACTGATACATTGTCTCGCAAATGTTCACACTAGTTATCGAATGGATGGTTCGTAGACATGCCACTCCGTGTTCACTATGATGTATTGACTAAGTTTACATAAATGTACATAAATATACCAAATAAGTTATATGAAATGCAAAACTGGTTTCATCTGGTAATTTAATCAAAAACAAGTAAGAATAGTTATTCGAAGGAAACACTAATAAGTAGCTAAACCGCATGGACACTATTTTCCAAGAAATCCATCAATGAGTTTATGACGGTTAATTTTCTGAAGCTTAATTCTGACAGATCAAGCTAATCTGCTTTTAGTCCTTTCAATTCATGTGTTCGGGATCTATGATCTGTAGCTAATTTTCTGTTGAGTCATAATAAGTTTCCCAAATAAAATTAGTTTTTGTAATTTTTCTGTTATGCCGAATAAGGTAAATGGTTAACCAACGGGTGGTCGAGAATGGCCCACCACCATTAAGCTACCCCAAATTCGTCAAGCATACGTAAACCTTGTATTGTGGTTGCTTTCTGGAGGATGCATCTGCGAACAACTGAGGTCGCTGAATGGGTCTCAGCCATAGTTTGCATATGACAGCAGCCCAATGTGGTTAAGCGACGGACTGGACTACCTATAAGGCCGACAAAAATGTTTTGTTGCCCTCAGCGACCGACCGAAAAATATGAAATATCGGGTCGCGTTTTTTTTCATATACCTCGGCTCTTTACGATACACAAAAAAGGAATCCGACCGACTGATCCAATTTTTCAATTTTCCGACTTGAGGGCAACATAATTGTTTTTGGCCTAAAAGCAATTTACACACTGTATTTTTGATGCAATACGCAGCCTCTTTGCAATGCAAAGCAAATAAACATTGTCTATCTAATAAATACTTTCAATAGATGAACTAATCGAACTTATTCATACACACTATATACCGGATAGTAGTGACAATTAGGTTTCATCTTAAAAGGCAGTGAAAAGAAAGGTATGTTATTGATAAATATTCAAAAATTGGTTGCATGCTGTCCTCTATGTGTTACCAGTGTTCATGTTGTGTACATTCGTTTTCATCGTGTGGGTCAAACCTATAAATTACAGGGAATACATTCGAGTAATCACATAGTTTTCATTCTGATAGTTAGCATTGGTGTGCTGAATAATGGCTGGATATAATGTGAGGCTAGACGAAATTGCAATTTTAAGCAACGGCTGGCTTGGCGTATTGGTACATTTTATCAGAATAAATTGAGCATCGAAACATTGCGGTTTCTCATGTAGAGATGTTTTGTTCCCAATAATTAGTTTTCACTGGGAGAGTGCTAGCTTACAAAAGATTTCCAAACAATGCTTGTATGCAGGAAAGAACTTGTATTTATAATTTTCAGTCAGGTCCCATTTTATAATGTTTAGGGCTATTGTAGTTTTTTGTATGTGATTGTATAAACAATTGTATACTGTAAAATATGTCCTTTTCGCGAATTTTGCAAGAGAACTGATTGGCTAATTCAAGATGTCGCTAATGATTTTATTATCAATTCAAAATGACCGCCAAACAAAGAAATAAACAATGACAAGAGAGATTCGCTAAATCAACATTTCGCTATTACGTCATTTTACCAGAATTCACCAACATTGCATGTCGCTTTTTCAACATGTTTTACAGTATACTGCATATTTCAGTTGACCTTTCCCAATTTAAATTCTGAGATAATTGTGCTGTACTGTGTCTTAATTGGAACATGTTAATTTGGTAATGTCATGTTATTCAGACAGTACTTTGAAAGTTTAGCTTGTTATAACACCATTTGTTTACGTCAGTCGGCTGTGAATGTGGGGGTCGTTGACCTACATATGTGATAGTCTAAATGTAATCCGGAAATGGAAAATACGACTGGCAATAGGTTAGACGAAAAGCTTTGAGCCGACAATGATAATGCTATTTTTTATTGATTTATTATTAGGCATTATGTTCTGCTTGTAGTAATAATTATGGACGATAACACCCTAATATGTCCCAGATACGACATTTTTAGAGACGGTAAATTTAATATTTACTAGTATAATATAATGCGTTAATGTTCTCCCTGTAATAGTACATTGATTCATTGGGGGCTATATTTATAGTTTTATTCACGGATAACTGGCTTTCCCCTGGCTGGTAATACAGACTGTAATGTTGTCTTACTAACTAACATGCATGCATGTGTGTCACAAGTATAAAATACACAACAGTACATACCTTTTATTAGTTTAATTATATAATCAGTTAAAGTAAAGTGGCATTAACGTAGATTACTTACTTATTACAAAAACATGGTTCAAAATTATGTGCGTGCTATTATCGTACATCATAACGATTAATTGATGCATTAACAAATATATCACTAGATATGAATATGCATATGCATGTTTATTACAATTCAATACAAATATTAAGCATTAAATACATTTTTCTTAAATATGTGATATTAACTTTAATCATACTAGAAACAAAATAGTATTGGTAGGTTTGTTCAGTTACGTAAGAGTCAAACTGACAATATTAACAACTTGACTGTTTTACCACTAACGATAGCCGAGATGAAAATATTCCTTTTCAATTCACTTCTCCGTATTTCATAAACTTTCGCTGCTACTTAGTTCTATAATCAATTCGTGATTAGTTCATCATCGTATCGTATCAATTGTAGTTGTCAATCGTCTGGCATTATTTGATAAGCTGTTCAAATGCCGTGATTACGTTATTATATTTTATTTTATTCAAGTAAAAAAAATAATAAATCGTGTCCTAAGTTTATATAATTAAATGTAAATAATTATAACTCTACGGATGTGCTTAATATAAAAAGACACTTTGCTATTGTACCGATAACAACTACGACACAACCTTGTGTGTACGAGCACTCACTCACTCACTCACTCACTAAATTTGCTGGCAACATATATAATCGACACATGCTAGTTTACTTATTTACAAATGGGCTCGACATTTTTCAAGAACCATATGACGATATAGTAGAAGGTAATATCAAGGTATATTGCTCACAGGGATGGGGTCAACAACCAATTACTATCGCTGACACGACCTTCTAGTACATCCAGTACAGCTTTGTGGATGAACACGTACTGAGCCTGTAAACAATAAGAAATTATTACTCTGATGTTGCACAATTGTTGGAACACTATGTTTACTGAAATGCCGGGGGTGACAAACGCCTATAAATGAATTGATCGCTCTTCAAATCTCACCTCTGTCTGCACCATGTAACATCTCTGCTGTCTCATCCTCGCTACTACACCAAATATGTCAATGAATTTATTCTCCTTCCTAGCAAGGTGTTGAAGGACGAAATCGAAAGCCACGAACGTACCGGAACGTCCAACACCAGCACTTGAAATAGAACATTAGAACTGTTTCATCACAAATGCAACTGCACATGACAAAGAATGCGAGTAAGAATACATGTTGTTTGAACAGGTATAACATTATTTACTTAAGAAGATAATTGGATTAAGATCAGCATTTAAATTACATGGGCTCACCTGCAATGAACGATGGTCGGACCAGCATTTCTCGGTATCTGACCACGCACAGTACGAACGAATCTGAGCAATAAATCTGTTCTACCTAGGGCACCGTGATCAGGCCAGGCAGTGAACTGGAAGTGTCGAAGTGACCTTACTTCACGTTTCTGTGAATACATACACCAACACTTATTATTTTAGTATATTGATTGTTGCGTTTTTCCTACTTAATATACCCTATTAATTGGGCCATTCGATTGTATTGTCATCACTTAAGTCGATATTGTATCACATCCGTTAATATGCATATTGAAATTTCTCACCAGCTCTAGAGTAAAATCTCGTACAGTCCATTCTGGTAAAACAGATTCTGAAGCCATGGTAATCGTAATGTCCCCATATTCAGTCGGATCGGAATCAAATGGCCAATAATGATCACATCTCACCTGCAGATATATACCTAACCATGTTCATTATTTGTTATAAAAATACAAATTCACACGTATACATAAATTACAGTGCATTTTGAATACCAACAAAGATATCAACTACGACGAAGGGTATTATTCATGCTGTCTCCTCACCTTTCCTTTCTCAACACACCGGGTAATCATAACTATAGTCTGCGTATTCTGTTCCCAGATCATTCTCCAGAAATCGTCTTTTGTTGTCGGTAGAGGCCCTTGGGTTGCTATGTACTCTCTTGGTGAGGTATATCCCTGTGTGTGATAGCATACAAACATTACATACATTACATTACATACATACACTAATGATGAGTTATTATTATCAGCATACACAGTTTATATTTTACTTTCGATATAAGTCTTTGTTACAATCCATGCAAAGTTGTTTAATGCCGATGTGAATAATTAACCAACAAAGAAAAGTTTTAGAAACAACGTCCTTAACAAAAATAGTCCAAAACACGAAGAGGGCAATTTTTTCACCAGCGCAAATCCGAGAGTGTCTAGTGTTCTGAATTGGGCGAGTAAAACAGCAATGTAAAACCTTGATATGAAAATTAAGTTGATAATTGATTTCGTTGAACGTTTAAAAATTAACGAAACATTTTCAGACTGCCACAGGGTGTTTACGATACTTTTCTATGACTGTATTAACGGTTTTCCATATCACCCTAACAATTGGTGTGGTCATAATTACACGTGTTCACATACGTACTGAAATATAATTTGCGTTAATGTAGGTTGATCCAATGTCTTCCTCGTCATCTTCGTTCATTTCTATCAGCTTAACTCTTGTGTGATCATCTGATGGAAGAGTAAATATATTCAAAGTTGAGTGACATCATATGAGCTTAGCTAAGTCGTATCTATGTGTCAAGCGGCGTGACAGTGGGTATATGCTGTCACGAGAATGCATTGAAAAGTTAATACTTACACGGAAGTATATTTGTGTATCTGTTCTTCAGCCGATTTTCAGCACGTTCGCCAATCAGCGACGAGTAGTTTGTGCCAATCGAACGTAAATCCTGAAAAGTAATAAATGAGTGTATGGAAAAATACACACACCAATCAACACCTGACCATCATATTTCGAATAAATAAAAACAACAGTAACTGTGTTTCGCTCGTTGATGGCACATAAAAAATAAATGCTGCAAACTTACCTACTTAAATAGAAACTGTATCTACATTAGCAAGACAACGTATCGTCATTGCACGTCGACGTCGACAAATGTGGCTCTATTCATCAATGCACTTTGACTAAATTCTCGTTACGTTTTTTTTTTATTTGGTGATGAAAAATGTGTATGCTAACGGTTTGAATGTGTTTTTGTGTATTTCAGGTAATAAACGAATTGGGTAAAATAAGACGGATTACTCACATCATATTCTTCCTGAAATCGATACTCAGAATCAGCTGCCAATTGTCTATAATGCTCCGCGAACGCTTCAATTAGAACAGGTCTAATAAAACAAAAGAAGAATTACTGAATTGTATTAGATTAATATGTTTTAACAACTGTTGATACAATCATTAAGCATGTTAAAGGAAAGTCAATGCTAACAACATAATACTCCTAGATAAAAGAGCTCGGCAAATGTAAGAACATGCAATTTACAATTATTTTTTTTATACCACTCTTCATTCTCTAGATATTCAACTTGTCATCAATTTATGCAGTCCTCTATCTAATTTGTATTCTCCTACATTTGTAGAGCTTTTTCTTGAGGGTTCATTATGTTATTCGGTTTGATGATTCCTTTAATGCGGGGAAGTCATCAACTACGCATGCGTCAGGTAGCCATAGCGTGTAATTGTTTACAAACAAAAGTCTACCCATGAGCCTTTGCGTTCTTACCGTATGTTGTTATCATCACATGGGACTCAATTCCCGCGCGTGCGCAGGTGTCGACCCTCCCGCTTTAACGTAACGACACATTTTTATCGTTTACGTTATTACTTGTTCAAAGAATATTTGACAATAATACATGTGTACTTAGGCAGTACCCATCGCCGAAGACGTACTGCACAATTCACCACATAAGTGTACAAAGCCGTGTTAGTATCATTTAACCTTAGTGTATAGTAACAAAAGCAGTGCAGAAATGCTCAAAATAGAAGTAAACAAAATTTAGCTGTAACGTCGCGTTTCGTACCTAAATGAGCACTGTAACTATCACCTAAATCATATAGGGTACGACGGACTGCAGTGTAAATTAAGATATGTCGTTTTTAAAATTTATTTCGTTGGTGTGAAATAGATAAGCTCGGCGTCATCATAGTAAGCTTATTTGTGAAAATATCAATTGATGAACAGCACCGTATGGTTCAATACATTTTACAGACTCAGTAAATTTGTTGACGGCTGTGATGCTCGCTTGAGTGCAAAAGACAGTCTCACCTTGATAGTTTGTGTGATATAGGGTACGTATTAAAAATCCTTCTCTGTGGTGTTTTCTCGGTGACAATAACTTTCTGATTAGACGAACGTGGTCGCGGATGCCGGAACAAATATATTGGCTCCTTTCGCTTAACAATCGCTTCTCTTCTCACGTGCGTGTTGTTCGACTTTTGTATGTATTGCGAATCATCTACCGTTTGTATATAGCGTGTTGGTTGTGGTACAACTACGATTTTTTGGCTGCTTCCCGTGAAATGGTTGATGGGTCGCGATTTACTATTTCTTCGTCACGAACGTAAATGCGGTTATCGGGTTTGTAATCACCATAATAAGTTGTCTCACTTTGTTCCGACGGCGATGGCGCTATTTTAAGACATGTCATCGCGTCTCTGGGGAGAGATGCTTTCCTGTGAAACGTACGTTTGTTGACCGCGCTCATTAACTTCTCCTTCACGCAAATATACACCATCTTCTCTGCTTATGTATCGAGAATCGTCCGCTGAATGTACGTAATGTGATGATGTCGAACGCCCAGATCTTGGTTTGTACACTCTATCCTCAAATTTAGGACGATGGTGATGAACGCTTTCCTCAGCTCTCACGTATGCCCGATTTGTAACACCGTTTGTATCTTCGTAGACCCTTGTCATTTCTCTCGGTCTCGACGACGCTGTTGTGACTAACACATTCTCGTTTGTCAGACGGGTAACACCATTACGCATTTGGTAAGACGGTTTGTCGCGCATATAAACAGGATTGTCATGCTGCTGTTTGTTTGTGTCATCTTGCGAAGTTTGTTGCGATTCTGCGCACCAGCTGTCGAATAGAGAACAAAAAGTAAATAAGTATACAATATTACGTTGGTTAAGGAGTGTTTACAGGTGTGACCCCCCACCTGTGGCTTAATTGTGAAAAAGTCCAAATTCTTTTCAATTATTGCAGTTTGACTTCGTTGCAAATTGCGATGAATATACATTCCACATAAGAATGGTATTTATAGTGATTCTTTATTTAAATTGTAAGATACACACGAATACAATATTTTTTGTGATAAAATATTCATGATAAAAACTCACCATCTCCAGCAAACAATGACCATAAGAACTATTATACCAAGCGCCACAATACCAATAACCGCATACCCATACCACCATGGATCGTAAGCTTTCGAGTAATAACAAAATAACATGATATATCTCATTCTAATGTAAAGCGACCCACGAATGCACAGAGTACAAATAAAATAAATATATGTATAAATCTTCTATTCACATTTAACACTACGATAAAAAATTCCCTTTACGACACTGTGAAATTCTTTCGTTTTTATGCAGACAAATATAGTTTTCTTAACAAATAAAATCAAATTATTAAAGTTTTTATACATGTGCTTTTGAACACACTACATAGTCATAATTCAAGACAATTAAAATTAAAATGCAAAAATATAGAGAATATAGCGAAATATCTTTTCTTGTAATATTTTTGTTTTACTCGGTAATTATGAATTATGAATACATTTCGTTATTAATTATTCCTAATATATTTCTGTTTTTTTAGTCAAAATCTGTTGTTTTCCTCCAAAAGAAAAGATTAACGGAAAGTCGTTATCGACATTGTGTACAGAACTAAACCTAGATTTCAATTTGTTAGAGGAATGTCTGTGTTCTATCTGTTATATCATAGTCCAGCGTTGATATTATCAATATTTTTCCGAAACAAACAGAAAGGTACATTGTGTCGTTAATTTATTCGCTATATAGATTACTCACCTGTCATCATTGGCATTGACCATTCAGTATCAGTGTATCGTCCATCATATATAAAAGCTCTTACCTTAACTCTGTAATAAATAAGTATTGCATACACAATGCACATTTTAATACATGATGTTGACCAATGCGAGATGTAGCTGCACCATAAAATTATATGTAATTCCAATAATATTGTCATCAAATCATTCGTTCTGTGAAAACCA